GACGATATTCATGATTAATGCTAATCATAATAACCGTAACCACTCGCTATAATAAATGACTCGGGCAAGAATAGGTATCTGGCGTCCCTGGTTCTCCGAAAAGCCCCCTCGCTGGCCGCTGTCTGCTCCAAGCATGCTTAGCCGTCAATAAACACGACCAGGGAAGTTACAAGCGCTTTCACATGTTTCTATGGCTTATTGTAGGGGCCTTATAATTATTAGAACAGGGTTTAGGGGCATATTGTTTCTTGATGATAAGGAACCCCTCCCCCCCCCCCCCAAAAAAAAAAGAAGGTAATTGTTGAGGCCCTTATATTATATAATTAACAGTGTTGTACATGCTTCGGAGATTTCTATACGAGGATTTTCACATGTTTCTGAAGTTGCTTTCAAGAGTGCTGCTACATGCTTCTAAGGGTTCTACAAGCTACACGTTTCTTATGTTTCGACGAAAGTCTTCTTTGCCAGACACGTACCTAAACTTAAACTCTGAACCCTCGGCCCTAAACCCTAAAATGAAGCAGCCGTTCTGGGGTTGCAAAGATTGTGGCGAAGGAGGGTGACATATATATATATAATATAATCATAAACATGATAACAATAAAAAACAGTAGCACTAATCATAATACTGCCAATAATAAGAGGGCCCGCAAACCCTGAACCATGACCTTCTCGGGGGCCGCTTTGCAGCTCAGCTTAGGGCTTTGAGTTTGAGGCCCATTTCAGCATTCAGGGTGAGTTTCAGGGCTTATGCTTAGGGTTTAACGAAGCCGTCCTTCGCAAACCTGTCCAAAATCATCAGGTTTGAGCCAACGGAGTCCCCTCGTTAATCAACCCTGGGTCCCTCTTTTACTTTTAACATGTATCTAAGCTGAATCAGCAAGTGTACACCACAGGCTCGAGACTCGAAGTACCCAACCCGCCACCCAGAAACCCCCGAAATGCCTTTTATTCAATTTTTCCAGACCTCCTACAGTACGCTTCAAGGAAGCCTCAAACAACCCTGCGAACCCAAAAACCTGAGCCTGAACCCTAACATGCCGCAAATTCCTTAACTCTGCAGAAGCCACCAACATCCTGAGCCTAAACCCGAACCCTAAATCTTAAACCCGAAACCCTAAGAACCCAACAGCAAGCGAACCCTTGGTCGTTCGAGGCTCTAGGTGAGCTCAGGCATCTCACCCTCTACGCGGGCCCCGATCTTCTCCCCCTTTTGAGCTAACCTGGCGGACTTAAGCCTCAGGGACTTTGGGGCTTAGGGTTTGGGCTTAGGGTTTAGGGTTTAGGGTTTAAGTTTAGGGTTTGGGTGTAGGGCTTATAGGGTTTAGGGTTTCGGGTTTAGGGCTTCTCACCCTTTTGAGCTAAGCTGGCAGAGTGAGGGCTCTTGGGGCTTTTGCGGTCAGGGCTTGGGGCTTAGATTTAGGGCTCAGGGGGCTTCTTTGGGGTCTATAGGGTAGTAAACGGAATCGTCAGCCAGCCATGAGAAAAGCAGGAAATAAATAAAGTAGGAAAAAATAGGAATCCTAGATACAAAAAAAATGGGAATGACAAAACACGATAGGAATAAAATAGGAAAAATATCGGAAAAATATAGGAAAAAAAGGAGAAGAAATAAGAGCAAAACACAGGCATGAGCAGCAACATCCATGGAACAATGTCAACAGCAGCAACCCCACCACAATTCACACAGTTAACACAAGACTGACTGTTCGAACCCTATAGTATAGGGTTTACAAAGCCTTCCTGTATCCCGGAACCCTGCAACATAGTAGGTCACGACCCCTTAAACCCTAAGCCCTAACTCCTAA